GATGGGCCATGGTCCCAATAGGACCTTCTGAGAACCCAGTGAAAGGTATCTCCAAGGCCTGGTGGAGAGAAGCTTTCACCCAGGCTTTCTGCCTACCATTGAGGTGGCCAGCACCTCTGCACCTTCACCTTGTACCTGACTTAAAGCACGGACTCAGGAGCATGTGCTGGTGCGTAACTCAGAAGTTGGTTGGTTCTCAAAGCTGAACAGAGGAACAGGGAAGGAGTCCTGCCTGGAGGCATTTCCCTGATGCTCTGATCCATTTCTCCCCAGCTACATGGGCACCCATGGCAGTTATCCTCTCCAGGTTCCAGGGGTGTGCTGGGAGGACAGAGGCTCTGCTAAGCCCCAGAGGGGCCACATCTGGAGTTGCTGTAAAGGTCCAGCGAGTTCCTGGATTATCGCCCCAGGTTATGACTGACTATACAGTATGAGCCCAGGTTCACTTTTGTGTCAAGAAGGACGATTAGCAGACTTCATGGCTGCCCTCAGTTACTTGCTGCCACTTGGGCAGAATCTTTTGCCCTCTGCATCATGACTTGCAGTGCCTCCCAGAGGGAGTAAGAGTGGCTGCCACACTGACGTCAGCCCTGGCAATGAGGATAGGCAGTGGGATGCAGGTGAGTTCCGAAGAGCTATGTAGAACTACCCCATGAGCCTTCGTTATGCTTCTTCCTCAGCTGCCAAAGCTGTGCTCACCTCTGCTGAGCACAGGGAAGACGACTCAGGGACAGAGGTGTGCTCGTCTTGCAATCAACAATGAGTGGGAAGTGACCTTTGCAGGGAGCCACTGAAACCTGGGAGCTGCCCACCATACAGCCTAGTGAAGCTGACAGATGACCCACCCTGGTCCAGATGACCACTGGACTTGTGTGATGCTGACAGGAAAAAAAGCGAACACTAAGCACGTCCTAAGAAAGAAAGAACGGAAGTAACTATCTTGGCAGAATAATCACACAGTTCTGTAACAGTTACAAGTCCTGTGGTTTGGTATGCTGTTTGACTTAAATAAATTCTAAACATGGTCCAATATTTTAATCTTTTAGCTTCATTTTTGACTTCTGTCCCTCCCATCACAGCAAAATGTGTTTTTCAGGTGTCTCTCACTCTTCCTACCTGTTAACATCTGAAAGCTACGGCAAATGGAATGCTTGCATGCACATTCCTATAGCTCAAGAGTGAACATTTTTGTTTGGGGACTGTCCTTCAGGGATGCCCAGGTATTGGTTTCTTAGGGCTGCTGTAGCAAAAATCACACACTGGTTAGCTTGAAACAACAGAAACTTACTCTTAGTTCTGGAGGTAAGAAATGAAGGAAATGGCAGGGCCTTGTTCTCTCAAGGCTTGAGGGAAGAATCACTCCTACCCCATTTCTATCACTGCTTGGCATCTTCCCTAAGTATTCAAATTTAATGTTTCTTATAAGGACACCAGTGATCAGATTTAGGGCCCACCCTAATCTGGTATAACCTCATTTTAACTTGTACAAAGACCTTATTTCCAAATAAGTCTACATTTACAGGCAGGGGTAGAATCTTAGTTAAGACTTAATAATATCTGTTGGGAAAACATAGTTCAATCCCCAAGAGTAAGCAGTGAATCCTACAGCCAGGCTGTCGTGAGGTTCTTAACTTCACACGGCTAGTAAACTATGGGATTATTAGGTCTCAATGCAACGACCTCTTCTGGTGATGGGACCCCACCATCTTCACACACAGGACACAAGTCTTTCATTATTCCCTAGTTTTTAACCTTACATGAAATCATTGATGATGTACCATCTAAAATGTGCAAAATTTTATTCCATCAGTACCAGCATTCTGGCCCCTTCTGTGACTCCCCCCTGCTCACCTATCCAAGCATCCTCAGCAGCGTACAGGGACCTCTTGCACGATTAATCCATCCGTGTTTGGCTCATGTGTCCACATGTTTGTTAGTTTTTCCAGGACAGACAATATTTTTTTTAATATTTATTTTTTGTGGTTGTACAAAACAACTTTATTTTATTGATTTATATGTGGTGCTGAGGATCGAACTCAGGGCCTTGAACATGAAAGGTGAGAACTCTACCGCTGAGCCATATCCCCAGCCCCAACAGACAATATTTTAAAGTAAGAAATCTTGCTATCCCTTTGAGGTTTAATGTCCATTATAACAGGGCCACAATAAGGACATTTGTACTCAGAATTACCTGAGAGTTTATGAAGGGACTACTCACAAAGGTGTAGGCAGAGTGAACAATGGGGAAGGAACCTGGGGAAAGAATCAAGGAGACCTCACCCCCCTTAGGTCCAGAGGTAAGGATGCCCAGGCGGGGAAGAGGGATCATGTAGAACAGGTTCCTTTGCCAGTTCGAGGTGACCTCCCAAGGTAGGTGGGAATCAACACACTATGACCTTCCTCCCACTCCTCAGTTCTCAAGTTCCTGCTGGAACTCCCCATGGGTCAGATTCAATTCAAGCCTGAGTACCAGGGAGACCATTTGTGTAATTTAGTGGAGTCAGCTACTAGGGTAGAAATCAGTGAAAGATAGTTTAGATCTGAGGGTGGGCAGTCAAATGAAAGATACCCAACATTGGTTACAGGCCTGTGATAAACACCGATTGCAAAAATGAACCTAGAGGTTTACTTTGTAAAAAGACTATGAGTCTTTGATACATAAAACAAATAACCCCAATTCAATAAATACCTATTGAGTAATTAAATATTTTTTTTAAAAAAGTTATCTTTAAAAACTTTCATTTTATTTTGTAGATTTTTTTCTTTAAAAACCATAAATTACAGAAATTGGCAATGCCATTTCTTAGACACACAGGAAGACCCAGCTCCCCTGCAGTTGAGGTTGGGGTCATGAGCCTAGGTTCTGGCCAATGCAAGTGGCTGGAGGTGGAAACGTGTTATCTTTCAGGGGTTGCAAAAGTGCCTGCCATGGTTCAGCATCAGTGATTCAAATCCTCTTGACCAATGCGCTCTGAGCTCAGGCACTGTGCTCAGGGATGGGAGTTTCTGATCTGAAAGCACGGGATTTATTTTTGTCATATAAAGCAAGTAACCCCCAATTCAATAAATATCTATTAGGTAATTAAAGATTTTAAAATTATCTTTACTGCATCCTATATGTACTCCTATCTTAAGAGGATCTGCTTCATCAAAGCATCGTTTGTAATTGTTAAACTGGAAGTGGTGAATGTGCAACACAGAATTAAATTATGGAAGGCTGTGAACTGAAGTTCTCTGTAGGGGCTGCACTTTTATTTGGGAGCTTCTAGGAACACAGAGTTCATTAAGAAGCCAAGACTGTACTGGACTACCTTGGGACCCTTTTAACACTTTTTGTTGGCCTTGGTGTCTGACTTAGCATCTTTGTGGCCACGGGATAAATGTATGCTAAGATAAATGTATGCTAAGCTTGATGAACCTGTGGCCTCTCCCAACCTTAAGGCTGGAAATGAGACAGGAGACAGCCCCTGAATTCCCTGGAACACATCCAAATCTTGCAGGTTTCCCTGTTCCTTGGCAGTCTGCTTACTGATGACTCCACCTATTTCCTTTGGTCTGTAAGAGCTTGCGCAATCTTCTCCATGGGGAGCTGCATCTTTCCAGGTAACTGGAGTTCGACTACCTAGGGCATGGTCACTCATATTTAGCTCAGAATAAACAATTATTTTTATTTCCTCAAAGCAGAATTGTTATTTTCCATTAGCAAGTCAAACAATGGATCTATTATTTACAGACATGGAAGGCCATTCTTGACATTTTCTTTCTCTTGAAGTGGCAAAAGAAATGCATGGTGTGTGACCTTTTTTTAAAGGAAAAATCTATATCGAACAGTCTAGAAGGATCTCAACAGGAATTTGGGGTAACTTGTGCTTTTCAGTTTTCCTACACTGCACACTAGTGGTAGCGCTGAGCTCTCAGAATCAATTTGTAGAAACCTCCCCACAAAGGATGCCCTTTGGGTTTCCGACCTTTCCTGTGATGAAACTCTGGCCCATTAAGACTGAGTGTGGTGACCTATAAATCCAGGTTAAAGAGTTATTAAACATTAATATCTAATTTTAGGGGGTCTGTGTCTAGCTAAACTGAACAGACCATGAAACTAAGAGACTGTGATACTCAATATAAAGATTCATTTTAAAAAAGCCATTTGGAAATTCTTATCTAAATAATGGTCTCAGGTTTATCTCAGTAGGTACTATTCTAAATATTCTCAATCCTACTTTGACTTTTCCTTAGCTATCTAAATTTCTAAGAGGAAATGAAAAACATACCACTATATTTACCAAATTAGCAGTAAGCAGGCTGTTTATTCACTTAAGGTTATCAAGCAAAATGATCATGCTTGGAATTTATTTGGAAAAACTCAAAATTCATCTACATTAGGGTTATTATATTTGGGGTGGTATATGCCTCCAAATCACAAAAGATGTGAAGCTTCCAGAAATGAAATATTACCCTAAAGTGGGTCATCTTTTAAGTGTTACAAAAATCAGTGATAAGATCTAGCTATCCAGAATATAAAATGGAAGCCTCCATGGGGCACTTTTCCTGTAACTTTGCAGTTGGACATTCTATATTATAGATGTGGACCCTGTCTTAAGATGGTGTTTTTATGAGATTTACTGTTTATCACTGAAAATTCAATTTCCATTCTTCATGACTATAGGATGTCAGTTTTTAAAAGATGTCAGTTTATCTATTATACAAATGAATTTTTTTCAAGTAACAATTTTATTTTTCAATACTGGGTAGTGGCTGAGACCCAGGGCAATGACGATTCTGAAAGCCTCCAGGCCTGCCCAGGGCGCGCAGTGAGACCCCGTGCACACTCGGGAAGGTGGATGGGATCGTCCACGGGGACTCCCAACCTGGCCTTGCCGAAGGTCACAAATTGCTTTAACCTGAAAACCCCCCGGCTGAGGTCCGCCTCCAGCCTCAGCCTGAAACCACGCACGCCTTCCTGCTACCCGAGAGTAACCGAGCGCACCAGGGCTAACGGCATGCGGTCTGGGGACCCACGACCGTTGCGCCGACGCCGTCTCCACTCAACCCTTCCCTGGGCCCTGGAGGCTCCGGTGCCGCGCGCCGCCACGAAATCCGGCGCCGCGCAAACTCCGCGTCATCCTGCAGGCGGGCGCCGTTCTCGGCATCTGTAAAGGTCTGCTAGGCTCAGCCTAGTGGCCTCGGGCTGTTCAGGGGGACAACCGCGAGACGACAATGCGACGACGACCAAGCGCCAAGCACCTTTGGCCGCGCGCCGGGCCCTCCGTCCGCCCCGGCCCCCGCCCCGC